GATGTTTCGGGACCCCACTTTGGGTCCCGACCCCAACTTTGGGAAACACTGCTGTAAACCACGCCTCCTCCAACTCTTTAATAGTTTTTGATGGACTGCAAATTACTCCTCTGCTGTCATCATTATTATCATTACTCAGTCTCAGAGCCTGAGGGGTAGAAGACTACAAACAAACAAACAAATAAATTAAAAAAACAGCCTTGTGAAAAGGTATGATAAAAGTCTGGTAGTGAGTGTAGTTTAAACCCACATCTGGGTGTGGTCTTACCAGGACTGGAACTGAAAGTACAGCTGCACACACTGTGCCCGAAAGCCCGGCCCAATGAAAAGAGCTGGTTTCTAGTCATGAAACACTAAAATCATGTTTGTAGCTCAGTTTATTGTTGTAGTTTTAGTTCCTCGTACAAATCAATGACTTCACTTCTTACCTTCCTCTTTTTGTGTTAGTCACCATGGTGTCCAGTTGACTAGTTTACATAGGGCTTATAACAGTKTGGTGTCCTGCACAGTGTGTTTATTAATGGTTAAAATTATTTACTTTATTGCTCATAAAACAGATATTAGCTGCATTGTAACTACAGCAATTTTACCAAGGTTAAGACCTTGGAAGTGGACATTTTTCTCCTTGAATTGTAGTTTCTTTGATATAGTTTTTATCTGTTTTTTTGGCTTAAAATAGTAATGTAACTGCATTTAAAACACAAAGTCCTACAAGAAGGCCAAGTTTTTTTAATATCAGGGCAGCTGATGACCAATATACAATGCAGATTTCTTTAAAATGGTTCATCAAAATATGTACCATTAATGGTTTAACTTAAATAAAAGTAGAGTTAGACATGATTGAAAGAAGAGCATTCTTGTTGGAATAAACTAAACTATGAGCTCTAAGCTAAACTTGCCACAGCTGACTTGGTAACTGATACGGTACGCAGTTAATCAGAGGATTAATCGGTCTGTCTTTTCAAGGTCAGCGATTCGAGGCAGTTCAGCTCCTATGATTACCGTTAAGTCACAAAAGGTCCAAGTGAATGAAAACCTTATTTAGCAAAATATGAGAGTTAAAGGTCATCATTGCAGTGTCACGAAGAAGCCCAATCCACAGTATTTCTCTCAGATTGATGTTTAATTTGTGACCTGTTGTCAACTACCAGGTGTGTTTGTTTACCTATAAAGTGGCATCATATTGGGATGGAAAAGCCCAC